GCTGAGACACTAGAGCAAGGTTACCCACAGACTGAGTCCCTAGTGCACCCCACCCTCCCTTCCCTCCCCCCTGCACCTTCTCTGCCCATCACACTGTCCCTCCCCCACCATACCCCATCCCTCCCTACCCTAAGAGGACTGTGAACATGGTGTGTGTGGGGGGGGAGAAAGCTGTCTGCACCGGCCCTGCGAGCATGCGTGTGCACCGGCCCTGCGAGCGTGCGTGTGCACCGGCCCGGCGAGCGTGCGTGTGCATTGTCTGAAAGCAGGGAACCTGGCCTGATGGTCGGCGTCGTTTCCACAGAGCGCCTGCTTCTGCTGTTTCGCTCTGTCCACTGGGAAGCAGCGGGAGTGCTCCCATACATGGTCTCACATAACCATTTTCACAGCCACATGACTGTTCATCCCAAAATGAAAATGCTGGTCTTTATTCTCATACCTAGTAAGTGGAGCTCTGGTGGCGCAGTAGTTAAAGTGCTCGAACCTATCAGCCACTCCTCCTCTGCAGAGAGATGAGACAGTCGGCTTCTGTGAAGACTGATAGCCCTGGAGACCCTGTGGGGCAGTTCCACTCTGTCCTCTAGGGGCGCTGTGAGTGGGATAGACTCCACGGCAGTGGGTGTGGTTTGGGCTTTGCTTCTGTGAAGATTGACAGCCTTGGAGACCCTCTGGGGCAGTTGTACCCTGTCCTCTAGGGGTGCTGTGAGTCACAATCAACTCCATGGTAGTGGGTTTGGTTTGGTCTTAATCTTTAGGGGAACAGATTGCCAGGCCTTTCTTCCTCACTGCCACTGGGTTAGAATCACTAGCCTTTGGATTAGCAACCAATCACAAATGGCCTATGTGACCCAGGCTCCTGGGAAGAACACGTTTATCCTTGGAGGTGTGTGGTAGTTCAGTTTGTGTGTCAACTTGGCTGGGCCGGGTTGAGTGGCTGGCAGCTGGATGTAGTATTTCCCATGATGAGACTGGTCATCAACTCCATGGTGGAATCTACTGTGAGCAGCTGAGCCCTAGGGATATGATCTGCTTCCTGTATATAAGGAGACGCCTTGGGGAATGGTCTCTAGCTTATGGCACGGTGGAACCCTGCATGTAGCCATGCTCTGCCAACCTTGAGACTTTCAATGGAGTTGAATTAATGGCCTGCCATGTGGTCTAGTAACATGAGGACTGTGCCGCTTTATTGTTGACCTTGGGCTTGTCAGTCTCAGCAGCCAATAGCTGCTGCATGAAGAGGCACCTCCAGCTCCAGTGGGCCAGGAGCAAAGGCAGAGCTGAACCCCAAGGTTGAGGGGCTTTCACCCAGCCCCTAGAGCTGGCACTTTTTTTTTTTT